TTTTGGAGTTTTTGGATTTCCTTTAAAAATTATTTTTATTATTCTTCTTTGGGACAATACTGTCCATGGAATGGAGGAAAAAGAACAGCTAACATAAATGGGGGGGGGCAATCGGTTCTAAATCCGTAGCAAATGTCTAACAGATGCTGGGATTTCTTTTTTTTTTTTTTTATGGTTCTTGGAGATAAATGGGTTTTTTATTTCCAAAAGATTGATAAATGGATTTTGTTTGTGGATAATGATGTGCAATAATTGTTTTAATTAAGTTATGAAACATAATATTGTACCTAAAAATCATTTCATGTCTTCCTTATGAAATTTCCGCCTCTATTCAATTCAGTTTATTTCTATAGCGCCAAATTCACAACACGTCATCTCAAGGCTCTTTACAGTTCACCAGATCATTCAGTCAGATTGATTCAAAGTTTTCTATCTAAGGAAAACCAGTTGATTAGAGCGACTCATTGACTCGAAGTCAATCCTTCACACCAAGCATGCTTGTAGTGAAAGTGGAGAGAAAAAGCATTTGCCAACTTGGTTTTAATCCAATTAAATACATTTTCTATCTTTTATTAACTTTTTTTAAAAAGAATCATACTTTGTTTTTAATTTACCTTAATGGAAAAACTCCTTTTTAACAGGAAGAAACCTCCAGCAGAACCAGACTCGGTGTGAGCGGCAATCTGCTGAGGTCGACTGGGGTTCAAGGAGAGATAGAAGAAACAGAAGCAGACATAGAGAAAGAAACAGGGATACAAAAAGCATCCAGACAAGCTCCCATGTCAAAGGATGAATGAGAGCACATCCAGTTAATCACAGTCAGAGAAACAGGACCTCGAGTCAAGCACACCTACTTCCCATAATCAGGAAGTAGTGTTGTAAGAAATACAAAAAGTTCACATCATTCCACCTCCAAATGGAGGAAATGGCATTTCAGGGTCTAGATTTCAACATTTTCCTGGAGATCTGACCCCTAGACCTCCCTATAATGCTTGCGCTGCTACACCACGCAAAGCCTTAGATGTTACAGATCCTATGAAGTATTCCAGCTGAATGATTGATTATGGGTTCAACGTTGCTTTTTAATAACCTCTATTTAATCCAACATAAACAGCAGAAACACATATCGTCACCTTCTTAAAATAATTGCCTAAGTCATTTTTTTCAAAAATGATTTTTTTGCCTAAATCATCTCTTCATGATGCTGGCCACCTCTGGTAAAATTGCCTACATCCTCAATTAAACAGATCATGCCATTCTACCCCTTTTGTATAATTGCCTATGTCAAGAGTGTGACTTAGGCAGTTTTATTTTTGCTTAAGTCACCAGACAAATTGACTTAGGCAATTTTAGAAGTTTTTCAAAATGGCGGATGATTCTAGGAGACGAAAATTCTACACAGCTGCTGAAGCTATTTCCAAGATTCTGGACTCTTCCCATGTTGGTAAGTGAAGATGTTTACTATAATATACACTAGGCTATCAAAATTGCATAAAATGTGATCTTTTGTGAAAATTTTAGTTTAGGAAGCTAGCTAAAAATGCTCTGTGTTAGACTGGCGGCCTGTCCAGGGTATGCCCTGCCTTTGCCCGAAGCCAGCTGAGATTGCCTCCAGCATTAACCATGACACTAATGAGGAATAAGTGGTATCGATAATAGATGGATGGATGGATGGATGGATGGATGTAAGTTAGCTAAAAAGCACAGTGGAAAGACTCCAGAGTCATCTAACTAAGAAAGTTTTCAATTCTGTAATGTAATCTACAGTCTAGAAAAAATTCACAAAGGACCCTCTTTACTCGATTGATTTTAACTAATGAAAATTTCAGATGAACATAAGTAATCGTAAATGATTTGACTGGTGTTATAGTGTGCCTGTGTTGCTGTATCTAGAGGCAACTTGCAAACCATTTTGGGAATCCACAATGTATCTTAAATACAATTGACCTCAAAGGCAATTCATGTTTGTCAGAATAATCACACATTTTTGAAAGATTTGAATATTTTTTTTTCCCATTTTGGTAGGAGATGCACTTGATATTGATGACACCAGTCTGTCCTCATCTACTGAGAATGACAATGAGACCATCAATAAAGAGATGATGCAGTATGTTGATAATGATGCACCATCTGCTCCCATGGATAAAGTTAAAGATGCCAAGCAGACACATCCACACCAAGAAGACACAATATCAAATGATGATGGCGATGATGGTGATGATGTCATTCAAGATCCGGACTATACCCCAACCTGTGATGAGTCCTCTTCTCCTGAAGATGAAAACAGCCTATCTATGGTGGCAACAACTTTAGAACAGCAGGATGAGGATGTTGAATTAAAAGATGTAGGCAAAAAGAAAAGAAATAAACACCTCAGTCCAAGAACATGGAAGCAAAATGAATCCAAGCAGAAACGTCTAAAAGGAATTTCATACAAGAGCAAAAGTGGCAAAGAAATAAGTGCAAAGACTATGGGTCCTCCCTGCAACTCCAAGTTCTGTCAGCGAGTCTCAACTCGAGACTGCCAAGTCCTTACAGAAGAGCAGCGGCAGTGGGTATTTGACAAGATTTGGGCAATGAACACCTGGGAAGAACGTCGGTTATACGTCACCACTTTGGTCACAAAGACTAGCATAAAGCAAAAAAAAGTTACGGAGGGATCCCGACGCAATTCATCATTTACCTACCAACTGAAGCTTGAAGATGGAACAAGAGTTAAAGTGTGCAAGGCACTTTTTTCTTCTACAATTGGTCTCCCTGAAAGAACCATTACAAAATGGCTGGATGACCCCATCAACCCTGAAAAACAAGCAGAAGTGCCATCAAAATCTGGACCCAAAAGTGGCTGGCACAGAAAGGTTGAAACTGATGTCAAGGATTTCCTTAAGAACTGGTTGAGGGACCTGCCCAGTGTTGACTCACACTACTGCAGAAGCACAGCTACCTACAAAGACAAGAAGTTCCTTTACCAAGGCACAACCATCTCCCAACTACATCGTGAATATGGACAGGCAGCTGCAACTGCTGGAGTGAGAGCTGTTGGAATCCAATATTTCACAGCTGTGTTCCATGAGGAGAACTACTCCGTATTTATTCCAAGAAAAGATCAGTGTGATGTTTGTGTTTCATTCAAACATGGAAATATCAGTAAGGCTGCATACAACGCACATGTCACCAAGAAGGATGAAGCGAGGCAAGAGAAATCTAGGGACAAGGATTCTGCTGATAAAGAGAAGTCCGTTTGGACAATGGACTTGCAAGCTGTGCTACTGTGTCCAAAAACCCAAGCCAGCAGCCTGTATTACAAAACAAAACTGCAGGTCCACAACTTTACCCTTTTCAACTTGAGATCAAAGGAAGGCTACTGCTATGTTTGGGATGAATCAGAAGGTGACCTCTGTAGCGAGGTATTTGCACATCTTCAGTATCATCATTTTGAAGGTGTGATCAAAGGCCATCCAGACCTCAAGGAGATCATAGTGTGGAGCGACGGTTGCGGTTATCAGAATCGCAATACATGTGTAGCAAATGCATACTCTGAGCTTGCAAGGAAATATGGGGTGCTAATAACCCAGAAATACCTTCTTGCAGGTCATACACAAATGGAGTGTGACAGTATGCATAGTACTATTGAACGAAAATTAGTTGCAGATATCTTCACCCCAAGAGACTATGTCGTTGTACTCCAGGCTGCAAGAATCAGGCCATCACCTTACTATGTGAAAGTGCTCAAGCACGATGAGTTCCTGAAGCTGAATGGATCTTACTTCTTCAGCATCAGACCAGGCAAAAAAGTTGGAGACCCGACTGTGCATGACTTGCGGGGTCTTCAGTTTAGCAGTGACGGCAAGGTCCATTTCAAGCTGTCCTTTTCAGAAGACTCTGAGTGGGAAGAACTGCTACAAAGAGTGCAGGTGCCAAATGGGCCAATGGCATGGATAAGTTTGTTTCCATGTGCTCTGCCAATCAAAGAGAGAAAGTTCCAGGACCTCCAGTCAATGAAACCCATCATGCCTGTCGAGTGTCATCACTTCTTTGACAATTTGCCACACTAATAGGCATCAGACAAAAACTCAGCAAAGAAGAGCTGGAAGGAGAAGTGGAAAAAATGCACATGCCTCCTCAGCATTATGTTTTGTTAGTTTGTGCTGTAAAATTGCCTAGGTCACAAAGGCATGTTCAGAAATTTGCCTAAGTCATTTAATTCTGTCATGTTCCATGTTTGACTGACCTTGCTGTTTGTATGTCAAAAGACATCTGTTGTTACAACTTTTTTGATTAAAATTGTTCGTAAATATCATTTATTCAACAAATGGTTCAGTTTTTTGTGTTTCCTGAAAAATTGCAAAAAATGACTTAGGCAATTATTTTAAGAAGGTGACGATATGATACATCAAAGGGTTTTAATTCGATGGAAACTGAACATATTCTAGGTTGTTTTCCTCATTTCAAATTCAGACGTCCTTCCCTTTGGCAGTCTGCTGTCACCTAAAATTAGGATTTCTATTTTCCACACAAATAAAAACAGCAGCGAGCTGGGCCAAGCGATCCAAAAGGGTCGTATCCATCATTATTTCAGAGGGGAATCCTGTTGTTCCTCTTTGATTCCGGTCGTACTGTGGTCTGTTCAGCCTCTCGGTGTGCCTGTCACAGCGCATGCAGGTAGAACCCTGCTCTTCCTTCTCTGTTCTGTGTAGCTTGCTGATAAAGTGTTAATAGGCCCATGAGGTACGGTGTTAATTGATTCATTCTCCTTTGGCTTCTTCTCATTAACACCCAGTCCCAGGATAGCGTGTATCTCTCCAGGTCCCCTCAGAAGCCTCCCATGTGTCCTTGTTCCCTCCCTGCTGTTCCTCCCTGTCTGGGGATGGGTGGCAGGGAGAGAATCAAACCCGGGTCAGGATCTCGGAGGAAGCTGGAAGAGGACGGAGTAAATGAGAGATGTGGATGCTTTCAGTTAAGAATGTTAACCTCATTTGACTCTTTTCCTGTTTTCACAGCATTCGCAGTGTGATGCAGAAATACCTGGAGGAAAGAGATGAACTCACTTTTGACAAAATTTTCAACCAGAAAATTGGTAAGTCACCATTTTTTAAGGGAAAATGTAACATTGCTCCCAGTTGGGGAGAGAGAAGAAACTCTCAGCATCTTTGAGTCGAGTGTTTCCAGTCCGTGATCCCTCCTCAGTTTATAACTGGATCCTTAAATATTACATCAAAACATAAGCAGGAATCAGCTGATGTCTGTTTGCTTTAGAGCCAATAATGTAAAATAAAACCCACATTTACTGGTTCCTTTGAAGATGTTGTACAAATATCCAAAAGTAAACTGGCTTCCTTGCATCTGCATGGTTCCCCTCTGAGGACTATAGAAACAGCTAAAACAATTAACAGGGATTGGATAGAACTGTTTTTATTTATTGGCAGCATAGCTGGAAAATTATGTAAAATAGTTGTAGCATTTTAATGTTATGTCTTTTTAAAATGTTCCTCAACTTCCTTTTTTTGGTACCCAAAAAATTGGATCCAGCTATCCAAAGGGATGGACCCGCTAGTCCGTTTCAATTTGCATTTTTTTCTAAACCAAAACCAGGCTTTGTTGGGCTACTGGATAAATCCTTGAACTCAACGCTATTTCTGACATTTTGAATTGAAAAAGCTTCCTTGATTGGAAGCGAAATGTCTTCAAACCTGGAAATAAAGTCTGAGTTTTAGCATTTTTGGAAAAAAAAAAAAAAAAAAAAAAAAAAAAAAAAAATATATATATATATATATATATATATATATACTAGGGGTGGAACGGTTCACAAAATCCACGGTTCGGTTCGATTCGGTATATGTTGATTGTTACACCGAAATCCCATAAAAATTTATGAAATTAATGAAAAAATCCCCCAAAAAATAATGGATTATAATTATTTTAAATGATCCGCGGAAACCCTGGACCATTTCCGTATGTTTTGCTGCTTTGAATTTAATCATCTGGCGCATGCTCTCTAGCATCTCCAAGGGACTCAGAGGGGAGCGGATGGGAGCCACAGTGGAGGCTGTAGCTTTGCTTTGTACAGCCGGTCTGGAGCGCAGTGGGGCGGAGCGCTGACGGAGTATGAGGGATTTCGGGGTTAGCATGACATGTTGGTCATGTTGCTGTTAGCATAAACAAAACGTGTTGCACAATGCTCGCACACTGTTGCACTTTTATCCACCACTTTCTTTCCGCCGTCATCGTAGGTCACTCTAAATGCAAAGTGGTCCCATACAGCAGACCTATAAAGTGCTGCTGGCGCGTCTTCCAACTCCTGTTCTTTCCCACTCGCCATACCCACACAATTCTCCACAACAACTGATTTTTTTCTGCTACACCCGGCTACGCTGCTTCGCTTCTTCTTCTTCTTGTTTACTACTGGTGGTTGGCTTTGGTTGCAGTACCGCCAGCTTCTGCTCTGGAGAGTAAACGCTTCGCCTATGAGAAAAAGGAGCAGCGCATGAACCGAACGAAACACACGAGAATCGAACCGAGACAGTCGAACAGAACGATTTGGACGGTTTTCATAAATCGTCCCATCCCTTATATATATATATATATATATATATATATATATATATATATATATATATATATATATATAATCTCCCCAGTTATAGATCTACAGCTATCCATATCTAGCTATAGATCTAGATATATGTTATTTCTTTGAATTGGGGAAAAATAAGAATATGTCGATCAGCTGGCACCAAAATGCGACCTTACCTGTGACATTTAAAAAGATCCAACCAATTGGAGCAGCAGATCCATACAGACGAGGCAGGAGCAACGACAGATGGAAGTAAATGTATTTAGCTGGTTTTCAGTCTCAGATTGTGGTAAAATGCTGTGGTATTTAAAAAACATGAATTTAATTGGAACTTTTTGTCAATAAATGGAGGGTGGGGTGCTTTAGACACTTATTCAGCATGTTTTTTGAGACACCTTGGTTCTGTTGTATCCAAACTTGTTAAGTAGAGGCTGATTTCTATGGACAGTCGCTGCTGGACAGGCTGCCTGTAGCAGAGAGCAGTTGGCTCATGGTGCCCTTCTTTCGGGGAATTGGAGAGTTGACAGAGAAAAACAGGGCATTGAATGGCCGTTGGTGGAAAGGATGTGGCCTTATTGTGGGGTATCGGCACTGAGACCAAATGGTTTATAGAGAATTGTAGTTTTAGCCTTCTGAGCTGCTGTGGAGAGCTGGTTGGGTGTTATTAGCCATCTGATTATTCCAGTAAGTGTGGTTTTCCTCACCTACCAACCCAGTTAGTTATAAAATATTCTAAAAAGTCTTCCCTTCAAAGTAAAAGCTTCAGTCGACCAGCCACCAAAAAATGACATAGTTTTGTGACATTTGACCATGAGATCAGTGGCTGAGAAGTCAGGAAAATGTCCATAACCAATAAAAGCATTAAAAACAAGAGCTTCCATCCTGTTTGGTGCAGATAGCTTGAGCTCTTCAGATAAGGTCTAAAGATTTGTTTTGTTTTTGTTAATCCAGACACAAAGTTAACTCTGACAAACAACCTGGTGCTTTCTGTTTTCTTTGAGGCTACGTTCACACTGCAGGCAATGACGTCACAAGCAAGTGTGCTCTGTGTTTACAGAAGCAAACATGGATGGTAGTGCTGGAGCACATCTAGCTTTCCCAACAATAAAAACACAATCTTTTCAAGATGGTTAAACATATGTACTACTCTCCACTAGCCTCGTGAGACCATCCTGATCTCGCGAGCTTTCAAGGTTTCACTCACAGATCAGTCTGGAGACTCTCCGTTAAAGAAAATTTGGAGCCGTTCACCAAACAAACGTCCAATCAGCGTTGGCTTTGAGGCGGGTTGAGGTGTGACGCAACGAGAAGCGCGACCGTTCAGTCTAAAGAACATGGCGGCTTCAGCCGATGAAACTAGTGTTAGCGTGGCTATCGAGCAAGTTTTATCGGAATTACAGAGTATTTCTTAACGGAAAGAAGAGCAAAACACTGCTCTGAAGGCTTTTCTCAGAGGAAAAGATGTTTTTGCTCTTCTCCCGACTGGTTTCGGCAAGAGTTTGATCTATCAATTGGCTCCTCTTCGTCGTCGCTCTGTTAGAACGTCATATGCTTCGTTGATCTGATTGGTTTATTTGGCCCGTCTATCACCAACATAGGCCAATCAGCTAACCAGTATTTTCGCCCCTTCCCAAAATTACTTCAACGGAAGGTTTCAGATGGATATGCGGAGCAAATCCATCTGGTGGAGTCAGGATAACTTTCCACATCATCGTCCACCATGGTTTTTATTTTTCTTCCAACTTATGCGAGCAAGATGCAGAATAGTGACCTTTGTTGAGTATTAATGCCGTTCAAGTTGGATGAATGCGACCTGGCTGTTCAGACATATCAGCCGATACATATCTGATTTGAAAAGATCAGATTCGTATTGGATTCAGGACTACATAGCCAAGCGGCCTGGGTCGCATTGGAAAAAATCGGACCGCAGTTGTTCAGACAGCCATGCAAAGATCAGATCCAGGTCGCATGTGGGCAAAAAAAAATCAGATTTGGGTCACTTCAGGCTGCTGGGTCAACGTGCGGGAAAGCGTCCAGGTACGTCTTCATTGTCTCCCTCTATACTATGAGTGTGGCGTGGTGCGTTAAAGTCTCTTTTCTGGAGATTAATGGAAAGGCAGGAATGTTCTTAAACACCCGAGTTATCTCTGGTATCCACGGGGAATGGCATGAAATGTTTGCAGACTTGAAATGCTGCTAGCAGTGCATTTAAACAGCTGCTTCTGGTTGCTCTGAGGAATAGCAATACTTATTTTCTATCATTTAAATGCAGCAGAGAAGTTATGCTGCTGCCCTTCGCAGCACAGCTAAATGGGAGCAATTTAGCTGATAACTGAAGGGGTTTATCCAATGCTTATATTTACAAATAGATCCACTTTATTCTGCTTCCCTGTCAACATTAAACAGTTGGAAATTACCTTGGGGTCTGTTTGACAAAGAGTTTCCTCAACTTCTGTTTTATCAATTTGATAAAATCATTGTTCGATGATTAACCCTTAGACGATTATTTGTTTACGTCCCTAAATCCAAACTTCTATCTTATTTCATGTGAATGTGGGCAAACTGGCAGAGCTACAGCTACAGGCTGGTGAATGGAGGCAGATTTCCAAACATTTTTACACAAAGGGTCCCTATAAACAATCAGTGAAACATCAGATGACAGAGAGAGATCATTGCATGTGGAGCCCCTCCGCGCAGCTAAGTTTCTAACCTCAGACGTTGTTGCTGTTTTATGTGGTGGTTTGTCTGCTGGCTCAGTGGAGAGCAGAGCCAGGCTGTTTCTGCTCAGAGCTGACCGGCTCTGTGCCAGCAGTTGTAGCGTACCAGGGGACCACAGCCACCCTGCAGGCCTGTTCTGGGTTTACTTACTCTTCTCTACCCCCCCTACTCCCACCCCATGAGAATAGGCTGCGTTAATTGTCCCTCCTTCCATCCTCAGCTTCTCTCTCTATGTCAGCCTTTACACTCAATTAATTTTTGTCTGTTGAGCTCACTTCCACCCCCATCCTCTGCTTTATCACTGAACTTAAATGCCAGAGTTTTTTTTTAAACAAGGCAGAAGTACTTCAATAAGATATCATATCTTCTTGGGGATATTTTGTCCAAAATAGGTTTAAACATCTACAAAGAAAGTAAAACCACTGGTTTAACGAACGAGAACAGAAAATAACAGAACCTCTTTACAAGATTGTGTCCATAAAATGTGTTCCTCAGTGCAAAAGGGGCCAACACATTAAAGGGCCTTTATAATGCAAAATTAACTGATTTAATTCAATTCGGTTTATTTCTATAGCGCGATTTCACAACATTTCAGGCACTATACAGTTCAACAGATCATCCAGTCAGATTGATTCAAATAACCCATTTACACCAGCCTTGAAAAACCGTGCCGAGACCAGTCCGAGCTCAGTCACTGAGATGACTTATCGTGTGTAGAAAAGCAAACTGAACTGAACCGAGCTAGACACAACCAGACCGAGCTAACTGCAGACCAGTTCCAGAGG